CCATGCCCAGAGAAACTTATTTCCAACTTGCAGTTCAATTTCAGCATATCCATATAATGCTCACTCTTTTTACCAGAATTCAACTTCTCATGGGTCTTGACATGTCTCAGCTTTTTCAAGCCCATGTCTTCCACCTCAGTGAAGCAGCCATCATACAAGACTTGATTTCCAATATTGCTGATGTCAGCATGCAGGATGGATGAAAACTGCATGCAGTTCCTTTATGATGACTGAGTCATTCTAACACCATCTGGTTTAGTTTCTTCTAAGAACAGGGTACCTTCACTAGGTAACCAACAAATAACTATTCACTCGCCTCAACCCCATGCAAGCCCTCAGATACTATCGGAGACATATGGAAAGTCTTCATTAATTGTTCCTACTGCTCATGTCAGTAAATCAAACATAACTACAAAAGTGTTGAATTGTCCCAAGATCAGGTACAACTTCTAAAGCCTGGCCTTCGAACATAAAGTCTTGATTTGGGACATAATGGAGTTATTTGATGGTCAGTCTGCTTTCTCCAGCTTCTGTTTGCATGACATTGCCAGGCAAAGGAGAGAACTATTCCTTGCTAAGACACTGGTGGCATTTACCACATTCCATTCAAGAAATCCTAACCCTAGAACCAATCTTGAATTTGCTACTTTTTCTGGAATCAATTGGGAAATTTTTTAATGTAAGACAGTGCTGAGGTGCAAAATCAGGCAAGACCTTTGCTTCACACCCCTACATGGTGACATAAGTAGAAGTAAGATTTTCAGCATTCCCTCCTCCTTCCTATTCTTCAAATGTTGATGTGTTTAGATAATGTAATTGATGAAGATGATCAGTTAATGTATTTGATGAAGAAAGAAAATTTTAAATGGGGCCCTGAGTGGCCTAGTGGTCTAAAACGCTGTCCGTTACTGATCACTGCCATCTCACCTCTGTCTGCATAGGTTCCAGTCTAAGATTCGGCACATGTGGAAATGTGAGAAAGCTTGCCAGTAGCTTCTCGTGGGTTGGTGGTTCTTTCCGAGGATTTCCTGGTTTCTTCCTCCACCATTAATACTGGCCACCATGTATAGCCTATCGTGTGCTGAAAAATGGTATCAAGCCCTACAACAACAAAAAAGCAAATTTTAATTTTAAGTTGTTTCTCTGAATACTGTTCAGATCATATTACTATAGTATTTGCACACCATCCTGCTTGTTTATAGCCCTCAGCCAATTTTAAAATAAAAGATTCAGGAGTTTTGGTTGCGGACAACAGTTGTTACTCAAATGGACTGTTCTAGAAACTGGTAAAGGACAGTTAGCAGTCTGTCTGCTTATTTATAATTGTAACTTAAATTTGCTCTGAAACACCAATAAGTTGACAGTGTTAGGGACCCCTTGGTGACAGATTAGAAATTAAAAATTTGTTTAAAAAAATGACTCATTTTTGTGCATCTTTTATCCTTGGTGCTTTTTGTTGATAAAATCTGTTGGGGGGGTGAGGAGAAGCATACAAAAAAGGAAAGATTGTACAATTACTGTAAAATCAATCCCACCTACCCTACCTTGAAATGAAGGCATCCTGTTAAGTGTGGTACTGAACTTAAAGCTGCTTACATCTATTATACTGCTAGCCACCAAATGGGTATAAATGGGAGTCACTTCATTTTGTCCATGTTATGTAGACGGAAGGATGTTAAGTGCAATAAAATATGGATGAAACTACAAAAATTTGAGATACCTTGGTCAACTTTTGCATTTAGTAATTAGGTTGATATTAACAGACATGCAATTTGAGACCCATTTTGGCCTCCTGTTGAGGTTGTGCAGTTTGTAATACAAGATCTGAACCAATATTTTAATGATTTTATACTGTTTTCCTTATCTTTTAGTCATATACCTTGTACAGAATTTTAAAATATTTACCTGTTATCTTTTATCTTATAGTACTTCATTTTTGTGTTTGGATATGTTTGCCTTTTTGTAGTGGGTTTTGAATGTTTTTTATATTTTCATTTTTTTAAAAAACTTAAGTGATATCTATTCAGTATTATGCTGCCTTCACTCGTACGTACATACATACATACATACATGTGTGCTTTTGATTTTTAACATAGCTTTTTTAAATAAAAAAAAACTTTTCTATCACAATGATGTCTGAAGTGTGGCAGTTTATAGTAATGTCTTCTACTGGGGCTGTAGAATCTTGTCCCATCAATTGCATTATCTTGACACTAGGCCTACCAGTCATAACGCTAAACTCTTAATGTTGAGCACCTAGCAAAGTAGCCTGCTAGCATCATTTTCGTATTTATTTTATATGACTTAAATGGGGGCTTTGAACCTGCAACTTCCCACAAAACTAGCTGTTTTATGCCGTGGTAGAGCAAATGGTCCAGAATTTTGCATAGCTCTTGTTGAATGCCATATTTGCAAGGGGTTTGACATAGTAGTCTAGTTTGCAGGTGACACATATATTTGGGTAAACCTGGTTCATATAATTTTTGTTGATTGACAGGTGATGAAGTGGAAGTTCTGGATGGGGAGGAGGAGGAAGATGGTGAAGAATTTGATGAGTCTGCTATTCTTATTACCGAGGAATCCAAAGATGAGTCAGATATATCACAAGAGGAAGAAACAGGTGAAGGAAGTTTATTGCAACAAGATGAAGTGTCACAGGAAGAAAAAAAAGAAAATGGCTTGGAATCAAAAGATGAGTTAGAAATGTCTCAAAAAGAGGGGGAAGAAGAACAGGCTAGTATCACAAAAGATGATATTGATGAGGATAGTTTACTAAGAGAGGAGGAACCTAAACAGAAGGCTGGGGAAAAGGGAGGAACAGGTGGCAGTAATGTGGTGACTGACAGTGGGAAAGCTATTGAATCAAATGCAGAAAATAGCAAGAAAATTGAAGAGGAAAAAGACGATAACAAGGATCAAGGAAAGGGGTGAAATAAAGACTTTTAATGAAAGAAGGGAGTAGTCAACTGGTTTTTGAGTATCTCATGAATAGATGTGAATTTAATGTGCTGGATATACCTTTCTGTAATTGACATTGGCATAAGACCTTGCTAGAATAGTATGATCCAGTTGTATTAGGCAGCAGCAAGGTTCATGCCTTGCCATGTTAGTACATTGTTTATTTCTAATACTTGGACAATCTGAACTGACAAGGCATTCACAATTATTTTTTTTTTACTTACAATCAGAGGTTCATTTTCAGGACCTTGATTTTCTAAAATCTTGGGTAGTTTTAAACAACACCCATCTCATAAGCATTTCTTAAACATATATCAAATAATCTTGTGACACCTATTGAACTGTCCTCGTCTCGTGCAAATTTGGTTAGTTTTGGTTTTACTGATTGAGTTTTTGCCCTTTGTATTGGTTATTGATGGAATTGAAATCATCTCTTTTGGCAGCAGTATAATACCTGTGTAAGTGTATTTTCTTTTCAGGGAGTTAAATGAAATGGATGAGGTTCAGACATGATCATTATGGCATTATGTACATTTTTGTGTCCTTAGATGTAAAGCTGTACATATAATTGAATTAAATTCTCTCCACTTTACAAAGACTTTCAGCCTGCTACCGTCACATCATTGTTTTTATTTAAACCTTTTACTCCTAAAGAATACTGTACATTGCTTTGTTTGATGAAGGAAGATTACCCATAAGTGACTTGGTATAAAAGACAAACCATACAATATTGGTGACAGAATGTGTTGTTATCTTATGAAAAGATAACATATGTTGACCAAAGTAATCTTTGAAATTTAAAAATGTTATTTGTCAATTGACCTTTGTACATGTCAATTACCAGTGAAATCACTCTACAAGCCATGATATATAGAGTAGGTAAAGAAAAGACGTTGTACAGACCATTACAGGTAAATGGATTGTTTTCAATGAAGCATATCAGCATTCATTGATCTGTTACATAATGACCAAAGGATGTGATCACCCAATTAAATTTTGTTTATATCCCTTAAGTTGTTAATTTCTGCAAACAGCCATCCGGCATTTATCATGTTTTACCCATTAATAACACAATGTACATACATCCTCTGCATTTTCAAAATGTCAAAAACTTCACTGTTGGGATGACAGGTTATTTAAGAAAGATGATATATTGCATCTCATGCTTCATTTCATTTCTTGTCTGCCAAGTTTTTGTGGGCCTCAGTTGTGGAATTTGTATACTGTTAATCCTTGTTAAGAATTTTAGCAGCCTTATTAGGTAAATGTACCCTAGAGCCAGTTTTCTAGAAAAGTGTTTAACCTTTTTATAAATTCAAGACAAAAAGATCTTACAGACCAAACCAATTATCATAATTACATATTATAATTTGTACTTAATGGAACTTCCTTTCATGATCTACTTATGGAGTTGCTCATTTACAGTGTGTCTGACATTCTTGATTTTCTTACAGTGTTTCGAGTACCTTGGCATAATTTCCCTCAAGTTCCTCCCCTTGTCGAACTAAACAAATGATTGCAGGACCAAAATGTGGCACTAAATAAAATGACCTCCCTCAAAAAAACATTGTGGTTAGTTTTATAAATTGATACATTTAGTAAAGATCTGTTGCTTCTTCTTTATAATATCTGATTTCTTTAATAGTAATATTATTTATAACAGAAAAGGCTTTTGTGTTTGACCAGATTCAAATGAACTTAAAGAAGTTGGTATGTAATTGTTAACTATGTGCTTAAGCCATTCCTGTGTTGTCCACCATTCTTTTCTTCTTGTTCCTTTGAAAATTGATGTGATGTGTGATTATGATTTTTTTAAAGTAACTTTAACAATTTTTCAGTCATATCACTATGATGTCTGCAGTGTGGCAGTTTATAGTGATGTCTAGCACAGGGGCATCATGTTGCGGACATGTAGATTGATGTCCCACCCAGTCACATTATTCTGACACCAGAATGGTCATTCCTAACACTGACCTCTTAATGCTGAGCATCAAGCAGGGGAGGGGAGCAGCTGTTAGAACCATTTCTGTAAGTCTTTAGTATGACTCGGACCTGGGATTGAATCCACGACCTCCCGCATCCGAAGCAGAAACTTTAACCACTAGGCCACCTGAGCGGTTCTTTATAATATCAGATTTCCTTAATAGTAATATTATTTATAACAACAGAAAAGGCTTTTGTGTTTGAACAGAATCAAATGAACTTGAAGATGTTGGTATGTAATTGTTGACTATGAGCTTAAGCCATTCCTGTGTTGTCCACCATTCTTTTCTTCCTATCCCTTTGAAAATTGATGTTTTATTTGTTTTATCTTGCATTGACATGTTCATATTTATGTAAATTCGCAGAATATAGCACATAAGAATTACATTTTAAATATGATTAGGTTAATTTTCAAGGTCAGATACTCTCACATTGAATTGAGTTGTCAATTGGTTTTCCATACTTCAGCAATGTAATAAACTGAGTACAATATTTTTGATTTTATTTTGTCTGTCAATTTATATTTCCATTATTAATTTAGTTTTGACTCAGTAACTGAAGATATGCACAATCAGCAGTTACCAGACTTTGTGGATAGCTGTGTGCTTGCAAGAAACCTGTGGTCTCTAACTGAAAGAAGACCAATGATCTCAGCACAACAAGTTGAATTCTCCACCATCTACTGATAATGTTATAAAAGGCCTGAGATTAAGAATCCTGTTGATTTCAGGATAGAAAGGTTCGTGATTGAGGTAATTTACTAAAAGAAAAAATATTTATTCACCTTAACTTAATCTCCACTATATACAGTTACCAAACTTTGTGGTTTGCATTTGGGTTTGGAAAACCCTTTTGAGGTAGAGTTCATGGTCACTCTAACAATAGAAAAATGGTTATGCACAGTAATAATAGTTTTACATCACTGGTAGTTTTGGTACGAATGAAGCCTATTGTCTTTCAGGTCAAACATCAAGAACACCATGACTGAAAGAATAGTCCCTAAACACAAATTATCAAACATCCATTTCCCTCAGAGTTTGTGGATGACTTGCATAGAAAGGAAAACCTTGATTATGAGATCAAGGTGATTGTGACAGAGAAACAAAGATTTTGCATAAAAACTTGTACCTTGAATAAACTCTTACCTCTTTTTTTGTGTGGATCCGAGTCAAAATGAAATGTAATTGATTGCATTTCTTTCCTATTGTTATTTTTCAAGTTTGACAATTCATTACATCATCTTGTAATGTCACATTAATTACACATAGTGTGATGTATTGATGCATATTGCTCTAACTTGTCATTAAGATAATTTCTTTACCATGGTGCAAAAGTTGTAATTTTTTTTTTTATCAGAGCATTGTTTAAAAGAGTTAACTTGAGGAATAGAAACATGATTTGCCTAAAGATCTCTCTATTTTCAATAGATCTCTATATCCAGGTTTTCAATAGTACTGGCACAACAGCTGTTGATGATAGAAAAAGTTTCTTCTTTCCACCACTATTTTCTCCAATATATTGACAATTTGGATACAAAGTTTTAAATATTGGATAAAATTAACATTTTGCTAGAGGATGACATTAATGTTTGTTTTAATAAATGAAAAATGTTCAATTCTGTGTACATAGATTGGAAATGTTTATCACAGGTGATTCACATTCCTTGGCATTGCTTTTCAGATTTCTAAAAAAATATGTTAAATCTGAATATTTTTTAATAGTTTTATGGTATCCATATTTATTAACATGTTCCTAATGAACAAACCATTTTCCCATCTTGTTAATCAAATGCAAAATATGTCTCTGAAATATGTATACACAACTGTCAAATAAAGGTTTTAATTGCTAGATTTACATGTAATAAATTGCTGTTATTTATTCAGATAATAAATATGTATAGAAAGAGATTCAGCTATAATTCGCCGAGGAATGGACTTCTTATTTAGAATCGCCTTTACATCTGAAACTTGTATAAATAGTATTCAAGTGTATTTTTTTGTCCATAGTTGTGTATAAATATAATCTTAGTATATGCCCAAAGCATGAAAAGACTGGTATAAATATAATAAAGAGTATACTTAACCGCATGAAAAGTCAGCATTTATCCATCACGTATGACATATTTTATTTATATAATTCATCAAATTCATTTCTTTTAGGAATAGAAGTTGACAATTTAAGATAACCAATAAAAATTAATAATGTTGATGAAAACCTTTAATGTTTAGCATGCAGCAGGTTTTAAGGCAATAAATGATATCTTCTTTCTGTTTGGGGTTTTTTAATATTAAATTTATTATCAACAATTTGCAACTGTAATATGTCCCCCAAAATAGAAAAGCCATTGTATTGTTTGTTGTCCATTTTCTTTTCATTTCAATTTGCTTATATACATAGGCCTAATCATCATAAGAATGTAAACAGATTGTATATTTTAAAAAAATTAAACGCAAGAGTCTTAAGATTTATTTTTTTAAATCAGTGGCAGCTATTATTGATTGCATATAAATTGGAAGCTATTTCGGAAGTTATTAATTTATATAGAGATTTACAGATCCACAAGAATAACTCAAATTTGGTGTGGGCAAGTCCAAAATATAAAGAGAGGGATACTATAAATTGTACCTAATGTTGGTAGTCTTGATAAAATACATAAAACACTTGCTCTGTGCAAGCTGTTTCACCCGCAGGAGGTAATGTTCAATTCCTAATGCTTTCTGTTCTGCCATTTTCTTGCTGTATGATCTTGCCACATTCCTTATAATAAAACCTATATTTTGTGTAGTTACTAGCGACATGTTTTTTTCAACCTCTGCATGTCATTTCCATCTTGTAGTCAATGTCCAGGTCTGTCTTGCATTTTCTTGTGCAGACATGATAATGTGAATATTCACACGGAATAAATATTTAAATTTTGACTTGTTGGTTACATTTGAATCATAATGTATGTATCTGGGATCCACCAACTTTCAGGTCATACAATAGCTTTTGGTAGTTTGTCAAATAGCCAACTGTAAATAAAGTTTTATATATTTTGTCAGTTTATGGTGGGTAGGTGGTAATTGTTAATAATACATCTCTAGAAATTTCTTTAACTGTTGTGCATGGATATTAAAGGCAATCATCTCTAATGATTAACCACCAGGAGGATTTTGTTACAAGCATGATTTTATACAAATCTAACACCCACAAGATGTGTTTATTATCTATATTAACTGCTTGGCACACAATTGAATGGGCAGTGTTTTCAGATCATCCTCAAGAAGTAAAATTAATGGATGTTGATTTAAAGGTTACTAAATGATAATTGTTAAGTAAACAGATAAAATAAGTGTTAACAAATCCTTAAGTTGTGAGAGTAAATAAATTATTACAGTCTCTTTCAAAAGTCTATCTTTTTTCAAATCCTATTATAACTTTTTCATTTATCTATGTACATGTCTACTATTACTCATCTATCTATATCTGTATTTTAAGACTATTTAAACTAAATATCTATCAACATGTATTATTTACATGTGTAATTTTTGAAATGTGTTATTAGCACCATATGGTTTTAAGGTGCCAATAAAGATAGAGAAAAACAAAGTTTATATATATATATATATATATATATATATATATATATATATAAAGATGATTTCTTTAAAATATACTATATTTTATATGTTTTATTCATTTATGAATATTATGTTTAGAACAAGCTCACATTCTCCAAGGGCAAATTCAATTTTTAAGTTGGCATCCCCAGGACAGGCTGAAATTTAACGATTTGTAAATCCCTGCTTTATCATTTGAATGAAAAATTGCTTTATAATGTTATGTGTCTAGGCTCATACAAAAGTAACAAGAAAAGAGTGAAGACAACAAGCTTTGTAGAATTTAATAAATAATTTATTTCCCTATAAAAAAAAAGGAAAAAATAAAAAGAATTTATGGTTTACAAATCAAATCCAAAATTAAAAAATAGAAGTCCTATTTAAAAAAAAGTCCTAAGTGAAACACAATTTGAATACCGATGAAATTCAACATGGATGGCAACATCGTCAATAGTAGGCCTTGTCCTGATGTGTCAACAGTTATTTGTTGAGTCACAACCAATAATATTCCAGTTTGGAATTTCAAATAATTTTCAATAAATGTCTTTCTCCAAGAATCAATTAAAGAGCACTTGTATTCAGGGTAAATAAATTACTAATTCCAAAAAATAAATCAACTCTAATTGGTCACAACAAAACAAGTTTGAGTTCAAAGGTTTAAAGCACAACTGGCTTATTCTCCTTATAATATTGAGCTATAAGACTAAGTAAAATGCAAAACAGATTTCCATATGAGAGTCACATGATCATCTTTCTAAAATAATGTAAAATAATTTACGTGATTATCATGTACTCTAGGTATGGCCTTAGCTAAAATCAATGCTTCTTACTAAAGAAAATTTTTTTTGTAACAGTTGTTTTCTCAAAACTGACACCGTTTCTAAATCAAGGTCTGCAAATACAGTTTTATACTACTGGCTTTTTATCAGGTCAAACGGAACTGAATTGAATTTCTAAAAAGATTATCAATTCCAATTGACAAAATTATCATTACAATAACATATAATGTAATTTTAAAAAATTAAATAATTAAATTACATAAACATAATAAAATTTAGCATAGCTTATGCAGTGGTCTCATTCCAATCAGTGTTCATCTAGCCATCTCTTTTGTCACAGTTCCTGCTCAATGAAATTTTTTGCATTTAATTGTATTATTGATATGTTCAAAAAACATTGAAAATTGTAGGAGATATCAAATTTTTATTCATTGTAATGTTCGTATGTGGCAAAAAACATTTCAGATTTTTCAGCAGACATGAATCAGTTACACAGGAGAGACAATTTATACATTAGAAGATCTCAAATGGGTACTGATTTATTATTAAATGAGTTGAATAATGTCCAGCCAAGACTTGCAAAAGCTGGACATTATTCAACAAGTTTCATAAATTTAATATTAAATCATTACCCATTTGAGATTGTTAAAGCTACATTCAAAAAATTAGAATCACTTGTATAATCAATAGGTTAATAGAAAACAGAGTAGTGACATAGTTTTAAGATAATGCTAATAATGGACAAGAGGCTGAAG